CCTAGGGGTATCACCAAGCCGTGTGAGCGCCTGCAGGTAGGAGGCACACCAGCTGGGGATGGAACAGGCGTTTGCGCAACCTCCCTTTCCAGCCAGGCAGAGCCCCATTCACTGACCTCGGGGCATTCCGAAGACGCCAAGCCACGGGAGCCGGAGGGCGGTGAACAGGCACTCACGCGGCTTGGAACAGGCGCTCACTGACCTAAGGGTATCCCAAATGCGTCAAGCCGCGGGAGCTGGGGGGAGGGCAGAGCACCACGCGGCTTAGCGTCTCTGGGATATCACTGGGTCCGTGAGTGGCACTCTGCCCAGCTGGAAAGGGGGGTTGCCAGGTGGCTGCTCATGAGTAGGGTCACCTCATGGCTGATATGTTGCGCTGCTGCGACAGCACAACACAGCCGTTTACCCCTGAGGCTGTGCCTGGCCCTTCGGGCGCCTGCTCGCAAGAGAGCAGCCACCTGACAACCCCAAAACAATAAGCCCTCCCGATAATAAGACCCAATCAATATTTTGGGAGTCAAAAGAAAATAAGACCTTGTCTTATTTTCGAAGAAACACGGTATCATGCAAATTGATAGCATAAAGGGGGGAAAAGAACAACTATTCTGCAGCTAAAACAATTTCTACCAGCATTCCACATCTTGCAGAAAGTTTTTGATTCATTATTTACCAAACAGATTCCTTAAATATATGACCTAAAGCGACTTAACAGATCTCATTTCCAAGCCTCTCCAACATTATTAGTTATTATGGAAAATAAAGTTATCTATCTTTTCATTAATAAGGACAAAATGTTTAGTCAGGCACTTTCTCATCAAATTATATTCCAAAATGGCTGTAAATCCATTTTAACAAGGAGGTGGACTTTAAGAACCAGTAAGGTTAGTGTATCAATACTGCATTAATATGTTATAATATTATAAGGAAAGGAGATTAGGGAAAATATAATTTCATGAGAAATTCTCTTAAGAGCAGTAAGATGATGGATTTTGTATTTTCTGTTCTGGGCACTTTTTTTCCTATGCTAGGCCTATAACTATCTTCATTCCATATTTCAAACTCATGTTGCTATAGCAAAATTCCCTAATTAGGCCTGAGCTAAGCAGAATGTAATTTCTTTGGTGTAGGGTGAGCAACACCTACCTATAAGAAACAGCTCACAGCAAGAAAGATGTTCATCAGCACCGCTTTATGATAACTCAAGTAATTTTTTTTCTTCTCTCACTATTCAACTGACAATAGTGCCATGCTTTAGCTAGAGTACAGTTTTATGTTTTCCAGACACAGCTGGACTACTAAATCCAGTCTCCCGTTCATCTTATTCCCATGTACTTTCTTGCTACATCTCCGCTTCCTTCTCTTGTAATGGCATTCTGCTTCTGTTTTCAAAATAGCAGCTCTTGAATGAAGATGAACAAATTAACTGGTTTGCTTTTAACAAGCAAACTTTTTCAATGCTGGTAGTAATTTCGGAATGCTCTGAGCATCTCTTGCTCAGATCGTTGTTGTCAAAGCTGGAAGAGAGGATCATATTTCTTGATTTCCTGAAGCAGGCGTAATTTGTCCTGATTGGCTTCTGCAAGATCTCTCCGAGTATCCTGTAACTCTTTCTCCAAAGTTAATACTGCTTTCAACTGCAAAATATAAAACAAGGTTGTAAAATGTGGAGTAAACTTGGCCTGGTAAGAGTGTTGGACCTGAATTCAAATTTTATTTATCCATTAATCATTTTAGGACATTCATGATCTTTCAACCTAACATACCTCAAAAGATTGTTGTGAAGATGAAAAAAATTAGTCAGTGCAATACTGTATGCAGTGATTTGTGTCTATGAGTTAAAGCAAGGAATGAATGTAATAAATGAATGAAATTATAAATTTCAGAATAAATAAATTTTCCAGGAAACTACTCGCAGACTAAATCTAGTTATTTAGTGGAAGCCAAGAATTTAATACAGTAACTAATTTCAGCACTTCTTATAAGGGAATATTAAGAGGAGGGTATCAGATTTCCAACTGTTAATATCAATCTGAAAAGGAATACAGTATTCACTCACCTAGAGAGCAGCAAATTTAGGGGGAGGCAAGCAAAAGCAATAAACCAGCATGAATTAGCATTCCTCACTGAACAAGATAAAGCAGAATTCATGCTTATTGACTTACAATAAAGAACATAATTTTTATACCACTGAGTGCCTAAGTTTCATAGTGTAACATATGCAATTAATGCTGTTTTTCCTGCCTGAATTATTATTATTTTTCCTGAAAATAAACTGGAGTTCTTCGAAAGAGGAAAAAGAAGCAACAAATGACAGACCCTAATTCTAAGAGGATTTTTTTAGATTGCAGTAGATCAATATAATTAGAGTTGGGTTTTGTTTTAATGAAGTTACAAATATGCTAATTAGAATGATCTCTTTGTAGTACTAGAGACATTATTTACACACTAATAACTAATACTAATAAGTATTACTGAAGACCATCATATCACTATAACACCATATCATATCATATTGTTGTTTTTTGTCACTATTCCTTATTCCAATCATAGGCACTTTACAGCAATATCTCAATTAATGCATATCCCAGTATTTTAGCTGTTGATGAAAACCAATTATTAAATATCTTTTTTGAACGTCCTGTTTCTAATAACAGTTTTTTAAAAGGTCCTAGTAAGGAGATATTTTTGTTTTTCCTTTTCCCAAAAATGAAATGGGAAAGCTGAAGTGAAGGTTTTCAGTAGCACCCTATTTATGGTACTTACAAAGAAGTAAATACCCCCAGAAAAAATAAACATTTTTTTCCCTTTCTTTTGTGATTGCAAGCTATTTGGTAAGAGGCACAATAGGGCATACCTCTGATTCATCATCACTTTCCGCTGAAGTTATAGAGATTCTCTCTACTGGAATACGCTGTTTCTTAAGATTTTTCTGGAGTGCTTTCTGGGTACAAGATTCTTCTGTCTCTGCAGCTGGAGGGTAAAGTATAAAACAGTATCTCTGCAATTACACAACAGTAATTCTTCCAGCTTACCATCTCCACTTTTTTTGAACTGAGCAACTAAATATAATGGAGTCAGATTGCTGAATGACAATGTTTAAAAACATTACTGTCTCCCTATATTAGCCACTTGTCCAATTGACTTTAGTGCAGCAGTTACAACAAAGGGAAATGGAGACAGATTATAATGGCTTTCATCAAACTGACACGCTGTACATAAACTACAATCTAAATAACAGCAATTCCAAGATGTAACACATTCCCAGCACATAAACAGGACACGAGATTTGGGAAAGCTGGATTAGAGGTTTCTAGGAGATACAGTATAGTTATATGAACTGCAGCCTCATATAAGTCAGTGTTACTGGAATATAGGATACTGACCTGTTATAAAGAACATTCCATCATCTTTACAATGAAGAACAAGGTGGTCCATGGCTAAAATTATAGGCACAGGACCAGGAGTGGTATGATACACTCGAGGACTATCATCCTTAAAAAAACAAAGAAAATTATCCTTTATTGTAAAATATTTTCTTTCTAATTACTTAACCTGATTTATGACCACAATTGAGCCTAAAATTTCTGTTGCTAAGTGAGACATTTGTTAAGTGAGTTTTTACGACCTTCCTTCTCCCAGTAGTAAAGTGAATCACTGCAGTTGTTAAGTTAGTAACATGATTATTAAGTTAATCTAGCCTCCCCATTGACTTTGCTTGTCAGAAGGTTGCAAAAGGTGATCGATCCCATGACTACAGGACATTGCAACCATCATAAATATGAGACAGTTACCAAGCACCTGAATTTTGTGGTCATGGGGATGCTGCAACAGTTGTGAAGTGTGAAAAATGTCATGTCACTTTTTTCAGTGCTATTGCACCTCTGAGTGGTCATCAAATGAACTGTTGTAAGTCAAGGACTACCTGCATTAAGGATAATATTCTTATATTAATATTATTGATGACCGTTTCCATATGCTGTATTTGTTAAAACTGGAAAAAAAATGTCAGGTAATTTAAAAAATGAAGTAAATTCAAGGCTCGGATTTAAGGCGGATGATGATTCAATACAAAGTTGAAATGTTGGGATCTTGATGTTTGCTGGCCTGATCGTCTTCTCTTATAAACTGTCAAAAGGAGTTTGATAGCACCTTTTCTAACAATTTTTATTAAAAATTGTTATTGAACTGCAATTGACTTCAGATGCTTAAAGAATAGGGAGTGGGAGAAAGGTTGCTTATGCAAATGCAGGTTACAAGTACCTTATCAATTAGTAAACTTCCCCTACCAAATTAGGTAATACTCTTAGCACTTTGACATCAGAAAGTGGAGTTTTCTTTTTATGATGCTTGCCCTATCTGCCTTGATCAGGAATATTGAATGCCTCTTAGATAGGGCTTGCTTAAATGCCCTGTGTTATCTTTAGTTGTTCTTACCTCCTGTGTTGATTTTCACTTATCTATATGTTGCTTGGTCTATAATAATGGAGAATCTGGTCAGGGTTTTTTGTTTCCTTTTTGGCCTTTGTTTTTTAATAGTTTGCAGATTGGATTTATCTCTGAATATTAATCAAGATAATCCGATGTACCTTTTCTTTTATCATTTGTCTCTCCATAGATGTCATATCTAATGTCACTCCTATGATCTTATAATTCATGAAAGCTAACGCTATCTTAAATTGGTCAATCCCTGATATGTTAAGATTTTGTGTTATTTTTCTACCTGGAAGCATTCAGATACTTTTTTGTTTCTACACCGTCGTTTTTTTAATTTTAATTTTAATTTTTAGACAGACAAACAAGACATAAAAAATAAAACCATCTTCCATTACATACAGTGTGTCGATTGGTTACAAGGTTTTTGATCATGCTTTCCATAGTCATCACTTGCAATTTATATAAATCATAATATCAAATCGAATATGTTTATATACATTATTATCATTATACCTCATTTGTTTGAATATCGCTATTATTCATTCATTTTAAACGAGATATACTAAATATTGGGTTTATTTATATTATAACAATTCATTACATCATCTTCAATCTATCCAATAATATATCTTTATGTTATATTCAGTCTCATTCTATTATTCTTGTATTGATAACATTCTCTAGTATCTTTCATTTCCATGTTTTTTGTCTAACCATTGATAAAATAAATCCCACGTCTTATAAAATTGTTTATCTTCTTGTTCTCTAACTTCAAATGTCAATTTACTCATTTCAGTACATTCCATTATTTTATGAATAACTTCCTCCTGAATTTCATTTCATCATCCTAAAACCATCCAGTAATATTACATCTTTATATTATATTCTACATAAAGCTGTTTATCTTTGGTTACAAAACTTTTGAGCATCCTCTCCATAGTCCTCACTTACAATTTATATAAAATTTCATATTATCAATCGTGTGTGTGTGTGTGTGTGTGTGTATACGCATTATTATCATTGTTAATCATTCATTTGACTATAACTATTATTACTTTATTTTATGCATAATCTAAATTTAACTAAATTTAAATTAATGTTTATTATAGGATTTCATTACATCATCCTGTATCCTTCCAATAGTAGTGCAATCTTATATCTCTTGCCATTTGTAGTATTTGTGTTCTAATTGCTTTCTTGGTAGATCTTATATGGACTTCTCTTGGCAACTTGTTTTTCATTGCATATCTTGTAAAGACTTGAAACCCCTCGTCTGTTCCTTGCATCAACTTCACTTTGGTTATTACCGATGCTTCTGCCAAAATTTCTATCATTACTTCTGCCAAATTTTCTCTTTTCTTCTTCTATGTTTTGGAGTCTGAGGTAAAGCTCTAATATGTCAATCTCCCATTTCAATATTCCACTCCTGTCTTTTCCAACCATGCTCAATCTGCTGTCAATATCACTAATTTTCTTGTCTTTTTGTCCATCTTTTTCTTCAATTTTTTGAATTCTATCCTCAAATTTCAACATCATTTGGTAAATATTCTCAATTTTTTCATCAATTTTTTCTGTTCTTTGTTCAATATTTTCCATTCTCTTTTCAATACTCTCTGTTCTTACGTGTATTTTTTGAATTTCTTGCATAATCATTTGTAATGTTATTTCCTTTTCTTTTTCATGTTGCGCCATTTCTCCAGATAGTAAACACTGCCACTATATCATCCAAAGCTTTTTTATTAAATTCCAAACAAGTTCACTGTATTCTTTCAATTCAAGGCTTTCTTTTCATTCCAGCTACTGATAGTACCCCAGAGGAGCACCTGTATAAACAGTCTGTGCTCTTCCCACTATCATTTTCAATAAACAAGCTCAGAAACTTTGAAATGTAGATCAAATGTTCAAAGAAAACAAGAAAAACAATGTTTCCAAGCCTCCAAGTGGCAGTGTTACTTCTTTTCCTCTGCTTTTACTCCCTTCTTTATATTCCAAACTTAAGGAGAAACGTTCTTAGGGAAAAAATTAAATAGAGAGTTGAAAAGAAAAAAAGAGAGAAAGTCTTAATCAATAATTATTAAAAAAAGAAAAATAGGAGGAGGAAAAAAAAACCTGGTCCAGTTTAAAAAGTAAAAAGCATTTATAAAAGTTCCATCCATAAAAAAAATTAATAATAAAGATAACGCACTAAGTTTGATGCAGGCTTAATCTCGCTGCTTAACCTCTTCTGTCTTTGATTTTAACTTTACTTTTGATCTTTTTGGGTGTTCTCTAATAATAAAATTTATCTCACCAATTCGACACACTTTCTCTCCTGCTTTTTTCCCGTTCTGGAGCTGTCCCAACTTTCAGCAGCTTCAATGGCTGCTTCTCTGTGGCCGGAAAAAAGAGCTTCTCCTGAATCTACCAGGGACTTTGCGATGTCCCTGGGATCAGCAGGATGTGCCCTTCTCTATCACCATCTCTATGGGATGGTTTAGGTCCAAAGGGACCATCCAGCGGCAGAGATATCGCCAGTGATCTTAGAGCTCCAAGATCGCACATCGTATCGTCACAATGTCAGCTCCTCCCTCCGTTTCTACACTGTCCTTATGTTTTTCCTTCACTAACCCTGCCATTCCCCACCAGTCAGTTAGAACTCAAGAAGCCTCTTGAATGAGAAGCAAAACATTTTCAGAGAAAACATGAAGAAAGTCCAGTTGCCTTTAGGAAAAAGCACTTTGTGGGCAATTAGAATAGTGAATATTAGTGTAATATATCTTTCAAAAATATTTAGCACTGCTATACCAACCACTAGAGAACCAGTTTGACTTACAGGTTAAGACACCAGGATACAAAATGAAAGGTTGTGAATTCTAGTCCCACCTTAGACATGAAAGCTAGCTGGGTAACTTTGGGCCATTCTGGCTCAGGTAACAAGCCAGTCAGTCAATTCCTGTCACAAGTAATTGATCAACACTTTGGCTGACCTGAAAAAAGCAGATCTTGCACTATGCTAGGGACACGAAGGAGGAGATATATTAACCAATATAATCCCTTTTGAATCAGCTAAAGAACATTTAAATCCATAGAACCTTCCACACAGAGGCAAAGGAAAGACATCTGTAATGTGTTACGGACCATCTGTTTGCTCAGATCAATTTCAGGCATTCATTCTCCTAATTCACAAAATGAAATTAGAGCTTTGCTTACAGAGGCAAGAGCCTCAGGCTGGAGGCAATTAACTCTACAATGAGCTTAAAAGACAAAATAACATAAAAGAGAGGGGCAAATGAAGCACTAAACTTTGCCTGAAAATGGATTTCAGATTGTCTTCACTGATAAATACCAAAACAGATGTATACATTCATCTTACTTTTTATTATAAACTAATCTACATTTCAAGAAAAGCACTCTGCTGTAGAAGCCACCTGCCTATTGAACTATTCTGGAGTGAGAGATAAATTCAGGAAGTTGAAAAAAATTCTAAGCGACAATGAATGCATGTACATATTCATCCTAATTTAAGCATAAGAGTGGGAGAATGAGAAGGAAAGAAGCATCATTTTATTAGCCCACTTGAAAGCCAGCTCCATCAAGACTTTTCTCTTCCTGATCTAAACTTTGTCCAGTTGATTATTTAAAAACAATATTTAAATTTAAGAGTTTGTGCCTGAATTTGCCTTCTCCCATTTGTTCACTATTCTTTTTAGACTGAAGAGATTAGTTTTTTTTCTGTGATGCTTTCTAGTAGGAAAGTGATAGTATAAAATAAAAAAATTAAACTTTCCATCTCTGGCATTCTTTTCTTCTAACCAAATCCAGGTAAAGATAAAGGTAAAGGTTCCCCTCACACATATGTGCAAGACATTCCCGACTCTTGTAACTCCCAGGCAGCTTCCAAGCAGGCTGGGAGGGACATAAGTGGTTGTTGCAAGGTGCATGAAGGGTCATTGGGATGTGACATGAGTGCAGTGGGGCTTGGATTGGCTTATGCACAGTACATGAAGGGCTGGTGTGGTGTGAGGATAATGGGGCTGAGAGTGAGTGCTGCAGGTTGGGGGGGGAACCTACCTGAGCAACCTGCTACTCTTCCTACTTGTTTTCTTTGTGGGAAGCCAGCAGGGAAGATAGCAAATGTCCATCACAAGATTGCAGGATGCTGCAACCATCGCAAAGTGTGATCCAGTTGCCAAGGGCCCAGATCGCAATCATATGACCACATGGGGTGCTGGAACGGCCAGAACTTTGAGTACCAGCCACGAATATCATTCATTCAATGCCACTGTAAGCTTGAATGGTCACTGAAAGAATGTCAATAATTGAGGACTATCCCACAGTTTTTAGCATTTATAATTTTCATCGAAGGAAAAATTCTCCATCTCCTAAATATCTGAATCTCAATACCATGTCTGATTTTTCTAGTTCTTTCTTTGAGATGTAATGGTCAGAACTATAGATTGTTTTCCAAGTATTGAGATTTGAAAATATTGTATAAAGGTATTACAAAATCTTAATATTATTTATTTAACAAGCCCAAGACCAGAGTCCACCTGCTGTTTAGGGAAGTTATTGACTTGGTTCAAATTTTTGCAGGATCCCTTTTTTCATGACTACTAGCTTCAATACTCCTACCACTGTGTATGCCAACATCAGATTTTTTTACACAAATGTTTCCTTGTATTTNCTGCAGTTCAGCGGTTCTAATCTCACCGGCTCAAGGTTGACTTAGCCTTCCATCCTTCCGAGGTGGGTGAAATGAGGACCCAGACTGTGGGGGTGATATGATGACTCTGTAAACCGCTTAGAGAGGGCTGAAAGCCCTATGAAGCGGTATATAAGTCTAACTGCTACTGCTATGTATATTGCTACTTAATATATAACAGGTCAGTATTTTTAAGAGAAACAAAATTGTTCAATCAAGGCAAACAAATATTATCAGCTGCATATTTGCTTTTTTGTAGTTGGCAAAGGGGATACTTAAATTAAGTATAAATGAATAAAATTGTTGTTCAGACAATTTTTCTTTTTCTGTAATAACAGTAATATAATATACCCACAAATGCTTTTACTTATTTTCCACCCATTGCTTACAAACACAAAAAAATTCTACTATTTTACAAAAGTGTATGTGCAGCAGAGACAACATATTTTGTTAATATTCACAGGCTTTCTATGAAGAGTTTAGAACATTAAGAGGCCAGTTTGGTGCAGTGTTTAGAGTGCTTTTGACTAGAAACAGTTCTAATCCTCCCTTAGGCATTAAGTTGATTGAGTGGGTTAGTCACTTTTTCACAGCCTAACCCCCCTCCTAGATTAGTTCTTGTGAGGCAAACAGAAGGCAGAAGCACTATGTGTACTACACTGAACTGCACAAAATAAGCAGGGTATAGAAAAAGTAATGATTCTGTAGATGCACAGTAACTGCTTTAGCTAAAATGAATGTAGAAATATGATTTTGCTATCACATCTGCACAGCTCTAATCCAGTGACTGGGCAGCTAGCATAATAGATTTACTTTTGTCTTGCACAGCGTTAGATGTATGTGAAAAATGGGGAGAATCGCCACCTCTGCAACCCAAGCATTTGCGTGAAGCAGTCAGACGACTGAAATCACGAGGACAGATTCCAAATTCCAAATATAAAAAAATTCTTTATCACTGAAGAGGAAGCGGGGAAAAAAAGGATCTTAAGTGGACTGGAGATGTTTCCATTGAAATGAAAAAGACTTTGGAGAGTATGTTCAGCTTACTTAAAACTGTCAAGTTCTGCAAAATTAAGGTGTTTCTTGTGCAATAATTCTGAATGGGTAATGCCAAGACTATATTGTAGGTATATTGTGTTAGATATAAAAACATTTTCTACGTAGGCAAAATAAGAAATATTGATGTGATAAGATTACAGGAAACTTCTGAAACATGGTTTCTTTCAAAAGGAAATAAAAATTTTAAAATGTGTTATTGGTACTCCTTGGATAATGACCATTCGGTAACTATTTGAATTTACTACACTGCTGAAAAAATGGACACAACCAGCATTGCATTTATGACCTTCACAGTGTCCCTATCATCATGGAATCAAAATTTGGATGCTTGATGACCAACCTACATTTACAACCATTGTAGCTTCCCGAAGTCACCTCTTGCCTTGTGTGAACAGCCTCTGCTTCAGCTCTTCTCACTTACCATTCTTCCCCCCTCCCCCATCTCTTTTCTTTCGGCTGCCCTAGATGCCATGTCCAAGAAGAAGACATCACTGTACTCCACTGTCCCAACCCCCAGCTGATCTGGGTCTTCTTTGCTCCCCTCCCCTGGGCTTGCTGGCCCCAAGCCCCAATGGACGGGCTGTGACAGCACTGGGCTCGAATCTGCCCTTTTGCTTATCCTGCACTGCATGGCCGAGATAAGGATGCTGCTTATTCTGCCATTGCTATTTGCTGCTGTGCCATCCCTGGTGCTATGGACTTGAAGCCAGCCGTCATTAGCCAGCCCAAGGGTGGGGAGAGGAAGATGATGATGGTTAGCAGAGGATGACAGAATATAACAGGATCTTCATCTCAACTATTCTCTACAAGGTGAGACAGAGAAGGGGAAGAGAGAGGCAGGTGGGAGGAGCAAGACACAGCTTGAACAGGACAATTGGTTTCTTTTTGCTGAGTGATTCCCTGAGTGTGTCTTTTGGAAGAATTCCAAGATTCTTTGGAAGAATCAAGGCTTGGGGCTGGCAGGGAACAAGCTAGGAATGGATCGTGACAAGATGTGATCACCATTTGTGCCGTCCCATCTCGCTTCTGACAAGCAAAATCAATGGAGAAGCTGGCAGGAGGACAGTCACATACATTTGTTTAACAACCGCTGCTGGGACTGCCGTTGTTAAGCATCATCATCACATGATGCTTTGTTTTATGACCTCTTTGCTTAGCAAAAGAAATTCCAGTCCCAATAAGGGTCATTACCTGAGGACTATAGGTATTGCAGGTATCATTATGTCTGTTGACAACTATATCCAGCATAGTAATTATAGTTATTTTTCTTCTTAATCCTAATGTTTGTTTGCATTGATCTCTCAGCTTAAACAAATATAAAATTTGTTAACTATTATAGCAAAGTCAAGGAAATATGTGCCATATACTTGTAAAGAATTACCAAAAACCATGGTTGTGCATCATAAAGCTAATGTTAAACTTTTAAAACTTGTCATTTTAATAAGGCCCTTAAGTGTTTGTGACAAGTTCAGAAATGTTCACAATGTATATTATTAATTGCAATTACCAATACAAATAAATTAATATAAATACAATCTTAGAAACCTAAGCCTGAGAAATAAATCAATGGAAATAGAAGTTAAGCATTTTAATACATAATGTTTAAAAGTGGTTCATAGAACCAGTATAGTCAAGAGGAAACTATATTGTGTGACAAAGAGATCCAATATACCGAAGGCTTAGATTTCAAGTCAGACTTGTACCAAATATTGTCTATTCCCATATACTCTTCTGTTTGAAATTACAGAAGCAGTTATACAGACTTAAAGTTTAAAATTAATTTTTTGATATTACATTATATAAAGAGTTTTGTTCTTCAAATTTACATATAAATACAGCACTGAAGAAAGGAAAACATTTTCAAAAACAAAACCACACTAAAATACGTTTGTAGTCGAATATCAGCTCAGTGGGTTTCCTCTTAATTCTCATGTTATGTTTAGATAAATAATTGTTCTCAGCATAGCGGAAGCATTTGAGGCATTCATGCCATAACAGGCTAATAAGCTGTAGTTTCTACTAACTGAAACAAGCATACTACACCAAATTATTTGCCACAGTATACTGTTTCTACATTTTGCCTTATTTTAAACCAAATGTGTATCAGAAGACATAAAATTATTTTAGTCAAAAATGCAAAGACTATATGGTATAATAAAATACACTGATTTTTGTACCCTGCTGCATTTCTAAATGAAAAGGTTACTTTAAGTGAACAGGATGTGTGTTGCACCAAATGTAAATGTTCATACTTGCCTCATTGTTAACTCAAAAAAGAATTAGGTGCACCTATATTTGTTTAAATAAATCGTCAACATATTTGGCCAATCATTCAACAATTAGATTTAGAGAAAAAAATGTCTACATATAGCACTGTTCACTAACAACCTTCATGTCAAAGTTGACAGAAAACACAGAGTTACATTTAATATGTTATTTTGGTGTGTCGTATCAGCAGTTTCATATAGTCATAGACTGTTCTAGTCATCAGAAAAAATAAGCATATACATCTGCAAAAGCACACTACTCTTTGGATAAAGAGTGCTTTTGCAAGTATATTAAAGAAGGCCTGTCCCATTAGGGCATTATCCAATATGGAGAGATAGAATAAAGTTAACTCCAGTGCATAGCCTGGGTTTGTTTAGAATATTGTAACAGATATAACTTAGGAAAAGTGTAGAAGCAACAACTGTTCCTTACACAGCAAACAGGCAAAATCCAGAATACATGCAATCTTATAAGCAAAAATCATTACCATTAAATTAAAGAAACTGACAAGCACAGTACAGCTGCAAAACTTCCTAAGCGTTCAGCAATTCTACAAATAACTTCAAAGGCTAACAAATTATTTGAAGCAGCAGCTTTTTTTTTTTTAAAAAAAAGTTCTTTATAATTCACATGGTGAAGATGAGATCATGACTGCTCTATCGCAATCAAGGCAGAAAAGCAGAAATTCAACAAAAAGATAATTCTGTTAACAGATGGGTGTTCAACCAAGAACTAGCTACTAGACAAAGGTTAGCTGTAGTGCATAAACTAAATTTAGCATTTTATTATAAACAAATAGGATAATATCAAGCAAACAGCTGTTTACTGAAGCTCATTATCCTCACCATGTTCCATTTCTTAAAAACAGAAAATGCCATCTATAAAGGACATATAATAACTGTACTCTGATCCATTATGGTATATTGTTTTGGCAAAATGTTGCTCGAAAAAAATCCTATTAAATTTAAAACCCCTTCTTATGTTTCAAGATTTAACTGAGTACAGATGCCAGAGCTTCAAATTCAGCCTGTTTTCTTGCTATCCCTCTCTTATTTTGTTACTAGTTAGTCAATTAAGTATTCTGGACAACTTAAAAGCTTGCACATATTTTTGTGAATTTTGAGCTGGCTTAGTAAAAGTATCCCTCAATTCTAAAACTCAGTAGTCCATTCTATTCTAATTCTCTTCATATAGCAAATTAGAGCTGCCATTCTTTTTTGTGTAGGTTGCTGCTTTTAAAATGCCTGTAGCACATTCCCATTCTTGGAATTGTATGTGTACAGCAATATCAACTTGGTTCAATTTGATATTTACCAACTCATACTAATTAATTTCTATTATCCGTCATGCTTTGATCTAAAAAAACCTTTGAGTATATCTATTTAGTATTTATAAGACTCAGCGTAATAGTGAAAAAACCCACTCTCTTCTATGTAAGCAAATCAGACTTAATGAAAACTACATTTTAGTGAGAAATGCTGCTAGAACTTGGCCTAGGCCTAATTATTTCACAAGGATAAATTCAGATTTTGAATTTTACCTGCCCAAATAATCACCAGGAGTTGAACTCAAAACAAAGGAATCTTTGCCTCTGATATGCTTTCAGAATTTTTTCACTTCTGCAATTTATCTAGTTGATATGCAGCTACAGCAGGTTATAATAAAACTTAAATGCATTCTACACATGGTCAAAATTAAGTCATAAAAAATCTAGATTAAAATCCATGAGTTTTATATTACAGTTAGTTGTTATGGATAACTTTGATTGAAAATCTTACTGTCTATTATAGACAGATTATTAGCAATTATTTGTTTCTATGTTCTATTTTGGCATAGTTATGGGTACATAACTATTTTGGGAAGCAAAATACAACTTTTCTAACATTTTTTTGGATATATCATTCTTTTAAAAACATTTAAGAAAACTGACACTGCTAAATTTAACACTGCTAAAACAATGAGCCAAATTGTTTTTTTTTCATTCCAAATACCGTCTTTCCCTGAAATTGCAACGTCCTGATAATAAGACCATGCCACAAATGTAAGCCCTCCCCCGAAAATAACCCCTCCCAGACAACCCCCCACTTCCAGCAAGGCAGAGAGCCACTCACCGACCTAGTGGTATCCCGAAGGCGCCAAGCCGCAGGAACAGGGTGGGGTGGGGGGCAAAGGCTCACGTTGCTTGGCGCCTTCGGGATACCGCTAGGTCAGTGAGTGGTGCTGTGCCCAACTGGAGAGGGGGGTTGCCGGGCATGTTGCTCTCTTGCGAGCGGGTTCCTGAAGAGCCAGGCACAGCCTCAGGGTCTAACGGCTGTGTTGCGCTATCGCAGCAACACTACACAGCAGCCATTAGGTGACCATGCTTACGAGCAGCCGCCCAGCAACCCCCCTTTCCAGCCAGGCACAGCACCTTCACTGACCTAGGGGTATCACCAAGCCGTGTGAGCGCCTGCAGGTAGGAGGCACACCAGCTGGGGATGGAACAGGCGTTTGCGCAACCTCCCTTTCCAGCCAGGCAGAGCCCCATTCACTGACCTCGGGGCATTCCAAAGACGCCAAGCCACGGGAGCCGGAGGGCGGTGAACAGGCACTCACGCGGCTTGGAACAGGCGCTCACTGACCTAAGGGTATCCCAAATGCGTCAAGCCGCGGGAGCTGGGGGGAGGNTATCCATCAGGTTGGTTCACCTGTAACTCCAAATCTTTATTAATTTGTTAAAAATAGATGACCTATTTTTTTTCCTCCTCACACAATAACAATTATTTATTTATATATATATACTTTACTACATAGTTTTGTTTTTAAGACAGTTTAAGTGGATAAGCCCTAATCTTTGTCCTTACAATGAAAACTGAGCATAACAATTTGGTATAGGGGAATATGGCCAAATCTGGGGCCTCCGCAAAAGCATTAGGTCACAAAGGGCCTGTGCATTGTGAGTTATCCACCATATTCTAAAAGGTTAGTGAGACTAGCTTGGCAAAAACCATGTTCATTTTTCTTCAGCAAGAAACATTTTATTTATTTTACTATGAGCTATCAAAATGACTTTCAATATAAATAATGACATTCAGTATCAAATTATATGAGCATCTTAAATTTTGATTATTTGAGAGTAAATCATTTGTTTAATTTAAATATTTTATATAAATAACTCTCTCGGGAGACTGTAGAAACAGAAATGGTTTTCCGCAGGAATTTCCTACATCTCCCAAACTTTATTAATGCTAAGGGTACATATTTACCTTTAAGGTAATCTTGGTATTCACAATCTCAATCTTCATGGGAATAACTTCAGGAATGACTTCATCTTCAAGGAAGAGTCCAATGCTAGAAAGAGATGATGTCAGCAGTTCTGTCTCATAGCTATGGATCAGCATATGAAAAAACCCATTTTGGACAGACAGAGGTGAGTGCACTGCAGCACTTGGTCCAATTTCATATCGTAAGCACACCTCAGGTTGGGTTTGGATAGTTTCAGTAGTTGTAGACCTCTCTGTGTTTGTATCTCCTGAAGAATAAAATCATTCCAACTGATAGTTTTCAGTAATAATTATACCATTACTATTACTATAAATAAAACATAGAGATCTGGATGGCAAAGGGAATGAACGGTTTGTAAAAAAGAAAACGTACAACGCTAACTGAATAATATTATAAGGGCTTAATGGCATGGCTGGCATTTGAACTGGATGCTAAGAATTTACCGCTAGAAGTTAGACAGGGTAAGGATAAAAACAAAATTGGGATAAAATTAATAAATATATATATTTAATAATTTTTTATTCTGTCATTCTTCAAAACTGCAGTTTGGTAGCAATATCCAAGAAATCCATGAAAACTGCAACCAAAATTTTTGGGGCCACAGACAGCCCTAGCTATACACTTCAGCTCTATCCACATCTGATAACAGCACTTATACACTATAATCAGGGGTATCAAATTCACATCGTCACGGCAGCATCATGTGATGTATCAGGACTTTCCGCCCCCTTTGCTAAATCGGGACGGGCATGGCCAGCGTGTGATGCATCTGGCCCATGGGCCACGAGTTTGACAGCCATGATATAGAAAGTTCTAAAGAAAAGTGACCCTGAACAGAAAATAAAGATTCTCCAGTTCAGGGTTAGTGGATGGGGGATTGTTCCCATATAATAATAATGTGCTAGGAAAGAAGTGTGGTTGAAGCTAAAGAACAATTGGCTCTTTATGCTTCATCTCTCTTAAGGACCTAATAAGAGAAGAGCTGGGTTAATCAATGGTAGCAAAAATCGAGCAATCTGATAGTACCACTCATTATCAAGCAAATGCTTTACCTCCTATTTTCTTCAGCTCTGCTCATAACACTTAGAATTATGAAGGAACCTGGTATTAACTCTTAGCATGTCTGATTTCAAAAATTAACTGGTTTTTTTTTGTGCTCCATTGTTGATGAGAGGAAGCAAAGAGGGATTATTATTTCAATATCACTTATGTACTGAGACACACAACTGTGCTAGCAGAGAAAGATTTTATTTACACAGATTTGTACATTTGCATCAAAGCGGCCCAACGGTAGCTAAATACTTTGCTGGCAGCTAACATACCTGTGGGAGCATTCTGCAGATACTGCCACATGCTGATATTTCCCAAATGTTCAGGAGTTAGTTCCATAACTTGAAGAGCAAGTGTCATATCATTCCTCTTGGATTCTATGACACAATTCAATTCATTTGTCTTTAACACCAGCACAGAAACCTAAAACAGAAAGCTTAGAATAAATGGATGCTGCTCTCAGATGCCACAGAAAAACTGTTGGTAAAAAAACAAGACAAAAAAAAATATCACAAAAATCTGACCAACTGAGTAGTAGGGTCCTGTGCACTCAGAGAAGCTGAGCTGTTAACACACGTAGATCCTCTTTCTTCGTCTCCCACTGAGCTTGGTCTAATGTCTTTATCATTAAGCATCTGGGGAAGTTGTCCTAAGGTAAGAAGATCAAGACTGGGCTCTGAAATTAAAAAAAAACCACATTTTAAATATTTTCTTAGCACAAAAAAGATTATAAGAATTCTGGGGAGGGGGGAAGGCTGCAGTTCTTCAGTACTAATTCTAGCATGAGTTATCTAGAATTCTGACTTCTTTTGCCCCCCCCCCCAAAAAAAAGAAAGTTTTAAAACTGAAATAAAGAATATTATAGTATTATTATTACAGTTGATTGCAGTCAGCCAGATTTTTAGAGTGGATTTGACATTTTTAATCCACTTATCCTTCCCAAGGCCTTTGAATAAACAGATGTTGTTGTTTAATGTTGTTAAAGATATCATTGCAAGTTGTAAGCTGTTCCAAGTAAAATTGCCTTTTTGCAAATGACTGATTTTGTTAATGCCGAAGGTGTTCAGGTGATGTTCTAGATTTCTCTCTCCCTCCCCCCCCCCCCAATCTCTCTCTCACATGAACACACACACTCTCACAATTCACTGGCTTTCAAGCTTAAAGGAGGCCAAACGACTCAATCTTCTGCTTTTTGAACCAGCACCTTAACAACTATATCAAACTGAGTCACTTCTATATCTTTGCATAAAAATGAGTAACATTTAGATTTGAATACAATAATTTAAAAAATGGATTCAATTCCAGCGCAACATCTTGGTAGAAATTATGAGTGGTTCCTCTAATATTGTCATATTCAGGACATTTTGAAGAACTTTATTTGCCGACATATACCTGTGATTTATTGTCCTCTTTATTGATCAGTCAACACTGGCAGCACATAACCAATTGTCATAAATTTAAAAAACTAAGTAGCTTTTGCCCTTGTTAGTCTTTAAATAGGGAACGATTTGTGAAGTTTAAGATTATAGGCTAGACATCAATATTAAACAAAAATATCAGAAAGGTTATTGCTTGACTTAAGAATAGTTTTATTTAATGGGGGAAATGACTTAAAGAAAACAAAAAAAGTAGAGGAGAATATATGTAGCTTAGGGTGAACTGTGGAGTCCTTGGTGATCTCTGAGCTCAGTTGTTCATTTGCAAGACATTTCATTCCCCAACTAGGTAACATCATCAATGGCATGATATTATGTAGTTGGGTACTGGAATGTTTGTAAGCAAATAACAAAGCTCAGAGGGCACCAAGTGCTAAATATAAGTCCCATGTTTCATCATCTTGATATTTGATTTTTGGTTTCTGTTACTTTGGTAAGGGTTATCAACAGCAATTACATGACCATCAAAATCTATGACAAGAAAAAAATCTCACCATCAAAACACTCAACAAGGAGACTGTGCAAACAATTTTTTGCGATCAATTTTAGCTGGTCCCAATGGAATTCCAAATGCCCAGTTAAAACTCGAGACAGGAATGCTGTTAATCCAGGTCAGAGCCTGGAAGATGACGGTAATATACTGGCTTAAAATGCAATTCTTTCCAATTGGACTGACCCCCCTTAATTTTAACAGATAATTTGTCTTCTCCCTGGAAACAGGCAGTGGAGTATAAGTTGACTTCATATGGGGTCTCTCTACAATTTTTAATATCAATAGGCTATGATCAAGCCAAATAATTATCAAAGAATAAGCGATGTAGAGTTTCAGACCAAAGTCAACATTTGTCCCAACATGACAGAATGTGAATAAATTAAGGGACATGGAAATCAGCATGTTATCTGCAAAACCTAATATTCTCCAAGTTGCAAAAAGCATTTTTAAAGCTAGTTAAAATACTCTTCCACCAGCAGTACTTCAAGGCAGGTATAATAAAACTCCCCATAGCAGAGTGCACCTGCCTATGTGGCAATAAGGAAATTGAAACCACCTCACACAAATTATTGTTATATTGCTAATTTCAGAGGAATATAAAGTTTATTTATATTTCACCTCAATAGATAATACCCAGGGATAGTAGATATTTTTTTTCTGACTCATCTTCTCCAGGATGGGTCACTCACTACATAACCTATGCACAGATGAATTTTGTGCTGCCACAATGAAAATAAGAAAAAATTGTTGAAGTGGTTTAAGAAGTTCTCACTTTTATCCATCACTTTTAGATTTTTTTCCAAACATAATCATTTAACAGACCAGATTATATAATTCCCAACATTACTACTGCCATACCTTCTTGGAGCTCCTAAGGGTAACAGCAACATGTAGCTCCCCGCCAATTCCTTATACCTATTAGATATAGATCAATGCCCACTAGACGCTCTGCTCTACCTAACCTTTTAAAAAACATATTCTTTTAATTAAAAAATGAGAGAGAAATTTGTCATGTAAGAGAAAGTACTAGCATATTTATTTATGGGAATACCTTTGGGCCCAACACAGGTTCCACTGGGATGATAGATACCAACCATTCTGGTAAATGATTGACTTATGATGACTCGACACAGCAGCTGTTTTGTGAATATGCAAGGTAGCCATTTGTAAGTCATCCTCTAAAATACTAAATGTTTTTACTTTACGATTCCATTAAGTTCCATTTGATGAATTTGTAATGATCAAAACTCAATAAGGTCTTATTACCTGAATCCATAAGCATAACAAAGCCATCACTGCCATCACTATCTAATGACAGTCTATCTTCAAGACCACTGCCATCTAATGAATTGGTATCAAAGGAATGTTGCGAAGCAGTCTTCTTCATGGAGGAGAAACGTGCACTTTCACTATTACTTCCTACTTGATTCACTGCTGCCTCTTCAGGTTTTGGTGAAAGATCTCTGCTGACAACCACAGATCAAAATTTGTTGGTGTTAATGAACATAGTCATCATGGGAACCTACAGATGTGGCCATAAGTGTTGCTGTACCTTCACTTTTTCTAGAAAGTCCCAATTTGTCATGAAGAAAATTAAATTTGACAGAAGTAGATGACATCCACCATTCTTTATTCTATAGCCCTTTGGTTTTGGTTTAACATATTCTTGTAATTAAAAAGTTGCACAGACATAATTATTGGTGGCTCTTAGAAGCTAAGTGACATTATTAAATTTTAGTAATCCCTCAAGCAGATTATTTCCTAAAATGCATGCTGAAAAGCCACAGTTCTTCTGGGAGACTGTCCTTTGGCCAGATGAAACAAAATTAGAGCTTGTTGATAAGTCAGAGCAGTTCTGTGACTTATGTCACAGTTGTGTGTTCACAGGGAAGAAAATGTTACTTTTAAAGAAAATAATACTGTCCCTACAAATGAATCATGGATGAAGCTCCATAATGTTATGGGGCTGCTTTGCTGCCTCTGGTACTGCCTTTTATGCCTTGCTGGATACAGTGAAATCAGAACATTATCAAGATATTCTGGAGTGAAATATAGTGAGAAACCAGGATAATAACCTAAAACTTACATCTCAGAGAATGTTAACAAAACCAACAATGGCTGAAAAATAAACACCGGTTTGTTCTGAAGTGGGTGCTTGCTATGAGTTCTGATCTGAATCCAATAGAACAAAGCTGAAAATCCCAGTTGGGAGAAGAACCCATCAAACATGAGATAACTGGGACAATTTTGCTCAAATGGAATGGAATGGAATGAATTGCCAATTGAGAAGTGTAGAAATATTATTCAAGGCTCTAGAAAGAGTTTGACCGCAGTTATTGCCTCAAAAAGGTGTGCTATAAAATATTAGTTTATGAGTACCAATAATTATGTCCGTGCCCAGTCACACCTCAAAAGTAAAGCATCTATGGAATAATGAACAGTGGATGCTGTTCACTTGTGTCAGTTTTAATTTATTGAATTGGAATTACAGATAATCCTTGACTTATGACCATAATTGAGCCCAAAATTTATGTTGCTAAGTGAGCCATATGTTAAGTGAATTTTCCCTATTTTACAACTTTCCTTGCCACAGCTGTTAAGTGAATCACTGCAGTTGTTAAGTTAGTAACATGGTTGTTAACTGAATCTGGCTTTGCCATTGACTTTTGCTTGTCAGGTCGCAAAAGGGGATGACATGACACCAGTGCACTGTAACCTTCATAAATACAAACCAGTTGCCAAGTATCTGAATTTTGATCATGTGACCATGGAGATGCTGAAACAGTCATAAGTGTGAAAAACTGGCATAAGTCACTTTTTTCTCAGTGCTGTTTTAACTTTGGACAGTCATTGAATGAACTGTTGTAAGTCGAGGACTACCAGTATTTGGGAAAAGTTGAGAAGTACCAATACCTTTGGCCACATCTGTATATATTACACATGCAGTTTTGTATTCTGCAAGGAAAAAACACATCACAGTTCCTGCTTTCCTACTTCTCTGAGAGGAATAGCAGATACATTTGGTCTCACTGGAATCATATGCTATTTCCTATAAGCAGTATTTTACCACACCCACCCACTCGCAAGAATAAATACAAAGATGAATTAGAAGACAGAAATGAGCTGCTTCAGTGGCTTCAGTGTATGGAATGAAAGGGACATTTTGCCCTCTCAAATGTTACATGGCTAGCAGTAATTACCTCTATTGAGTTTAAAAAATAGCAAAGATATAAAGATATCTAAATAGATTGTTTTAACTGACACTTTCCATAATACCATTTGTAATTCTGAAAAAATAGGGTAAACTCCAAAACTCTAGAGAGGAAAGGTGGCAACGATAAATTAATTACAAGAGGGGGCTAAAAGACTAGCATAGTAAAAATACCAGGAGATTTATCTAAAGACAATCTACAATGTTCACAGCTTGTTTGTAAAATTCTAAAACTACAATTCATTAATATCATAGCAGAGAAGTTCATCCTAAAGCCAGCATATGGAATAAATGAAGGGCATGCTCTCTTAGTGACAAGATTTTTAGAAAAAGTGTAATCAAAAGGAACTATAATCAAAGGGCTATAAATATTTAAATAGCAGGGAAAAGATAAAGTAAAAACAAACTCTGGATTACACTTGCCCAAAACACATAAAAGAAGAAAGAACATAAGATAGTAATAATCACTATTATCCTAATTGTTGTATTAGTTTAAAGTTTTACTCACTTGATTTGGGGGTGGAACAGCATTTTCTGCATAGTGGAAGCCATTTTTTCCTTGCTCAAGCTGAAAGCATCTTTTGTTATTGACACGGCTTCTTTAGTGAGGTCCATTGTAACATGCAAGGCTTCCTTGGTGGCATCCTTTGTTATATGCAATGCACTACATAACTCCAACTCCATGTTTCTCAATGGAATCAACTCTTCTTGCCCGTTAAGAGAGACATGTATACCACCTAAAGGATCTACAATGGAAGATGGTCTGGAAGGAAGAACTTCAGAAGTCTTAGGAAGGTTGATGTGCTCATACTGTTTTTCTGCATCAAGGATTTCTTCAGCTTCATGTGCTTCTTCTACAGGACTCCTCTGTCCAGTGGCTTGACTATGAAATTCTTCTTCCGTCAAAGATCCATCAGTTTGAGATTTCACCATTCCGTTTTGCGATGCAGTCATATTTCTATCTGTATTCTCAGTTCCAGTATCTTCTGACATTTTTATGGGACTACTATTTTCCTTCTCGGAGCTAACATCTGACTTCGGCTCTTTGCTTTCAGCAATTAGTCTTTCCCTACTCTCTGAAGCTGAGAGTTCAGATTCAACTAGACTGGTAGTATCTGAATCTATAGATCTCGGTTCTAGTGAAGAACCAGGAACAGGATGCATTAGCAAAGCTACCTCAGTACTGTTGAACATGATGCCTATGCAAGTGGTTATGGAATCTAAAGGCGACCCCGTTATTTCCTGGGTATCTAGGGTAAATTGCTCTTGAAAAGTCTGTAGTACTTCTTTCATCCGAAGTAGCATCAAATATTGATAATGATTGAGTTGCACCTTCACATGTGTACTTGAATACAGAAGAACATGGACATCAGCAGATATTTCCAGATCATTATCATTTCCTTCATCATCAACAGTACAACTTTCTTCCAAGACTTCCTTTGCCTCTGGGGTAAGGTAGATACTTCTCAAATTCTGCTCAGTCTTTGATCTTTGGCAGAATTGCTCCTCACCGGAAAAGACCTGTTTCTCAGTATGATTACTAAAAGTTGTGGAAGATTTAAGTCTAACGTTTGAGGTAGATGAAACCTTCAGCATTGCTGCCTGGGCTTGTTCCCATTTCTTTGGGAGGCAAGCCCACACACAGAGTGGAAATGGGTAGATAAAGTTAAGGGGCTGTCCTTTGGAACTTTTGGTCCCCTCAAAGTCCAAGGACACCTGGGTAAAATTAACAGACCAAAGATCTTCAAAAATGGAAGATTTGCCAGGAAAGTGGCAGAAATCTGTGTGCTGCTGGACATTGGTATCCACTTGGTATGCATGACGAAGAAAGAGAGTATGCAAGAGACTAAAGTTGTCCTGAAATTTAGGGAATTTGGTATAGCTAGAATGGAAGAATTCAGAAGCAGCAAATCTACGGAACAGGTTCTGCAGGGCTAAACAGCTGCAATGAGGTGCATGCCTTGTATTAGTAGCTGTCACTTCTGATGTGGATATAGAGAGACACTGGGGACGGTCCTGGTGTTCAATTACTTTTTTGTCCACTGGGATGTTTACCTGTATGAGGTACAGAAAGAATAGTAAGAATGATCTATATGGCTGTAAAAGTACAGAAATAAAACATGATGTAAGTGAGTATTTAAAAATGCTTACAGCATACTACTAACATTTATCTTGATTGCCAGTTATTTATCTTAGCAATAGGAAACTGAAGCTGACAGCTTGTGATCTACATGAGGCCACACAACTCTGTTATGTCTGAGTAAGGAAAAAATGAAAATTTTCCAAACCTAACATATGATTTCACAAGACATTTGTAGTCTATATAACAGAAATACACTGTTTAAACAGTTTTACCATAATTAGAAGACTCCAGTAATCTTTTTCTATTATTTAAAAATTTGTACTATAAGTACTAGTACAAGGGGAATTTTACTTCATAAAGCTTGTAGAAGGAGTGTCATCTTATATGGTAGCAAAATATCTGGAGTCTAGTAACAACTTTTTCAACTAACAAATTTATTAAAAGACATAAGCTTTTGTGAGCTGCATAAGAAGCATGTGCCTTTTAACAAAAATCGTTAGTTAGAGAGGTGCTATCAGACTTCTGATTTTTTTTCCTTTAAGTAACTAGGATATTATGTTGATTGACTTTGTCTGATTTTCATATGGGTTATAATACAATGATGACATTGCAATAGTAAAAATTACCCCTATATGAGTAACAATAAAACTCAATTAAAGTGACTGCAAGAAATGATCCAGTTAAAATACTATCAGTGAATGCAGGACCAAAAATAGGGGGTTGCAAGAGATCTATAGGCTGTCAATGGATAAGACAAACAAGCGTACCTGGGCTTTTCACAGATTGTCTTATTTGAAATGTACTTGCTCTGTACCTGCTACACTTAGGAGAGCGCAGAGATACAAAGGACATCCTCAGTTGACAACAAAATTTCATACAAATGATCAATCTTAATTATCAACAATATTTATCAATGAGTCACTTTCTCTCCGATTAGGAGATTTTTATGATTTTCTACAATACAGCACTGAAGAAAGCTGTCAAATGTTTCACTAACTCCACAGGAAGAAAGATCCAAGAGCTTGTTCCACTAAAAGAAATTCTCCCTCATTCATCCTCTTTACCTCAAGATCTTTTTGTCTGCCTAATTTGAGACACAGTAGAAGCAAAAGCAAATAAACAAACCTTTAACATAAAGCCATCCAATCGAATATCAATGTGTTCCTCCCTTTTTCCAGAGCTCTCTAGCTTGTATATAGCTTTAAACTGTTGTAGACTGCGATAGAGATCAAGGCAGAATAAATTCACCCAAAGCATGCTCCTTGTGTCCAAAGTGAAAACCAAGCCATTCATCTGCAAGTACAAGTTTGGACTTGGGACTGATGAAAAGAAAATATATATATAGGTTAGTGTTCCATTGATTCTTGTCTCCAATAGCAATCAATCTTGAAACCAATTTTGAACCATTTAGATCAACGACTGGCCATGTTAATTGGGTATGATATGGGATTGTAGTCAAAACATGTGGAGAACTTTCATTAGGGAAGGCTGCCTTAAATAGGGCTACAGCAGCGGTCTCCAACCTTTGTGGCTTGACAGCCCAGCTGGCGAGGGGGAAAGGGGAACTGGGCCATATGACCAACGGGCCAGTGGAAACATGTATGCATCATCCCGCTGCTCATGCGAGTGGAGCTGCGTGCACATAAGAGATGGTATTCTACTGGTTCAGACCGGATCGCCCGAACCAGTAGCGGAAATCGAGGGTGGCTCCACCCACCCGCACCTGGCTCTATGGTATCCCATTTAGATCCTTTTTTCGCCAAAAGTGCATGCACGGAGATGGAGCTCACATTTGCAAACCGATAGGGAAGATAAGTGTATACCACCCCTGGCGCACATGTGCTTGCCAGCCCGCATCTCATACAGCCCAATTCTGAACAGGCCACAGCCCAATAGTAGGCCATGGCCCGGGATTTGGGGACCCCTCATCTAGAGGGATGCCTCATGCCCCCTACAGGCCTTCTTTGGACAAATTTCCAAATCCCCAGGTAGACAGAGCATACTCCTAAAATGTAATGAAGAAGTAGAAAGAATGAAATGCTTCCAGGTAGAGAACTCAAATGAAAGGGCTGTGCAACTGCTATTCTAATACAAGATTATTATTTTTTTTTGCATTAAGAGAAACATGATGGAAATGAAAGGGAAATGTGTTAAGCTGAAAAAAATAGTAATGTTGATACTTTTATCAAATTTCATAAAAGATTAGAGAAATATGATTCCTGAGATCATCACCTGGAAAAGTAGTGTGGTCTGGAAAATAGTACTCTGTGAAAACTATATGGATTGCTGACGTATGTTCAGGAAGATTCAATAACTTCCTCCTACATGAAAGTAATGTTGAAGGTTTCTTACTCTGCTGTCCAGCTGTAGAAACCTGGAAAGCAACAGAAATATTGTATATGTACGTAGGTACATACATATGAATTATGACAGTGATACTCTTTGGATTTTTACACTTAAATATATGTAATCTAGGACATAAAATGAAAGATTTTAGAAGAAAAGCACTAGTCATTGAAATGTTTGAAGTACTATTACACAGTACTTTTCAAATAGTATATTCTTGTGTTATAAGTAATCAGTTTGGTTTTCTGGGAACATGAACAGAATGTGAGATAGAAATTTGAACTGACACTTATTCCCTCTCTTTTTTCTTTTTTGGGGTGGCAAACTGTTTTGCTCTAACACAGTTCTTTTTTTAATTAATGATTTTAAAAAATACAAACCATAAAAGACAGAAGCTATATCAAAATAATAAGGTAGTAAAATATAATAAGGAAAATCCAAGGACATGTAATCCTCATTTAGTAATTGTCTTCTTTAGTAACCATTTGAAGTTATGACAGGGATAAAAAAGTAACTACGATAATAAATCCTCACATTTACAACCTTTATAGGTCTACAGAATAAAAGAAAGTGGAAGGTCAATTTGTTTTGCTTATCAAGTTGCTATTCCCACCGTGGTTGCTAAACAAGGACTACCTATATGCAAACATGGGATCTAAAATATCAATATCTTTGTTAGTTAGAGAGTTATATAAAATGTGTTGTGTCATTTCTTAAAGGAAAAATGAAATTACTATTAAGCTTTAAACTAAGAGTATACTATAAATCACTAACTAGAATTATAGACTGTCATGAATTAGACCAATATTAAAAATCTAATTTCTTATAAAGTTGAAATATAAACTCTACTGTAAATGTGAAAAATCATAAAATATGATCTGCGATGATACCAGTTAAAAATCAAACTTGAAAAAAATTAATCAGACATATGTTTTTAGTTATTTCTTCTTTAAAAATCAGAAATACATAAGCAGATATTTATGATTTGGCTCTGAAAGGAAGAAAATTAAGAAATTGACTTAAGCTTTTACAAATCTTACTGGATGAAATCATATTTATAGAAGATGACAACGATCCCTTGTTCTGGTCTGGCCCATCATGCCCCACCAATGACAATGAATAGGATCACTGGGATAAATAATTATCTACTCTTAGCAGAGGTAAGTTCCTACTGGTTTAGACCACTATTAGTTTTGCATGCCAATAAAAATGCTTTGTTGCATCTCTCTCCAAATGTTCCGATACCTTAGTTAAGTGGCATTTTCCCATATCAATAGCAACAAGACACAGATGAGGCAACATATCTGTGTGATATTCACTTTTCCATATAAATGTTAGAACTTTACCTGATGAATATCCAGATCGTCAACTCGAACAACTAGGCAACTGGATCGGAGTCTATTCCATGCAGGCCGTTGGTGTCCTAGCAGGGTATGAGGTGGTGGGCTGTTCTGATGTAAGCCCTTCTCTGTAGAGCTTTTTGGAGAACTAGAAACAGCATCTTAAAACAAAACCATTATAATAATCAGAACAAATTCTTCCTTTTAGCAATTAAAATAAATCCTTAAGCTTAGAAGTATTGTCCTCTGCTATTCTCACTCTCAGTTCTTTATTTGCATGAAAAAGTACCGAATCAACAATACTGAATGCAACTAATAGAGAACTTTATGTGCTTGAAAATTCTACTTTAAAAAACAGTCCCTGGCAGAGACTCAGAAGTTATAGCTTGCCTTATTTGTAAGTTATTTCCATAACTGCCTCTTTGGTATTGTCCTTCCCTTGACTAACAGAAGAAGGCTTTTTGATTGAGGATATTTTAAAATACCTTAATATGCAGAAGTTATCATTACGACTCACCAATGATTATGGGCAACAAAACTTCAGAACTATCTTCCCACATTCAATACATACAGATGTTCTCATGAAAAAATTGCCAAATGGAAAAGACATATATAAATATATATACCCTGTTTCCCAGAAAATAAGACCTCCCCAGATAATAAGCCCAATCGGGATTTTGAGTGCATGCACTAAAATAAGCCCTCCCTGAAAATATTGCAACACAGCAGCAGCCATGAGGTGACCATGCTCACCACCTCCGGCACCTGAAAAATAATACGACCTCCCTGAAAATAAGGCCAAGCGCTTATTTCCGTGGGGTGGGGGGGATTTCAAAAGAAAATGTCTTATTTTTTGTCTTATTTTCGGGAAAACATGGTATATCTGATTTAGATTCCAGGGTTTAGCTTTCATAAGCTCTTAAAGTATTAGAACCATCACCATTCCAGTTTGAAACAAGAGAAAGTCTACTTTTCTCATGAGTGGGTGCTTTTAAGTACAGTTACACTGAACCAGAGGTGGGTTCCTACCAGTTCGCACCTATTAGGTAGAACCGGTTCATCAAATCTACTGAACCGGTTAGAAGAGGTTCCACCAGTGGACCCGGAAAGCAGGCCACATCTACAGAAGAGGATCCAAAAAAATTTGAAACCCACCACTGCACTGAACCCAGATGTGTATGCATTATTTCTATCATACCACTCCTATTCCTAAATTTCACTTTTTAATGAGACACATAAGTTGCACAATGCAATATGGATGTTTCAACAGTAGTTTATTTATATAAAAGGTGCCTTGTCTTCACTACTCAGAAGTATTCAGAAGTTGTAGTTGTAGTTTATTCAATTTGTATGCCGCCCTATTCCCGAGGGACTCAGGGCGGCTAACAACCAAGGGGGGAAGGGGATACAAATAGGAAAATAAAGACAAACAAATTAAAACGACAAACAAAGTTAAATGAGGTTTTGAGTGAGCAAATACAGAAGAGACAAGTAATCAAAAGAAGTGCTTTGGTAAATATGAGCACATCTGAAGAACCTTTTTTGAATGGTTAACAAAGTCATGCTGTTGCTAAACCTTGTATGTTTGCTCTGAAAGCTGCTCCCAGCCATCTGCAGCTGCAAAACCTTGATAAGGAACCTTGAGTTACCTTGTCTCTTTTTCAAGGGAGATTCCTTCTCTGCAGTTTTAAAGGAGGCAGGACTTATTTCTTCACTATATTTTCCCATCTTGTTTTGGAATTCATTCACTAGTTTTTTTGCCCAATGTTCCCAGGTCTCCATGGCATCGCAATATCGCACCCAATGTCTGCAGCTATCACCTGAATAAAATAGGGAATTTAAATTGACAAAATGACAATAGTTCTGTCATTCAGCTCATTTCATTTTTGAAGACATATTTCTAATTTGAACCTCTCCGATCAACCAAGTTAAAAGGTTTTGTTGTTGTTAACTGGACATTTAATTTTCTTATCTGAAAATGTATTAAGATGTAATCTGTTTTCCATTGTTCAGTAGCTTGACAAATGTTGCCATTTGATTCCAAACCACATTCTTAAAACCATTCCTATCTCTAATGGAATTTGTACACAGTAAATGGGTATTTGTTACTCATAGTTTTGCTCAGTAATGTTGACTTCCCTCAATGTCTTCTTTGTTAAAGGAAATATTATCTGCCCACTTTTAAACAGAATAGAAGTGGAAGGGACCTTGGAGGTCTTCTAGTCCAACCCCCTGCTCAATGCAAGAGGCCCTATACCAGTAATGGCGAACCTTTTGGGCACCGAGTGCCCAAACCGGAACATGTGTGCATGCGCGTGCGTGCCGGAGCACCAGAAACCTGAAGACCAGCTGGCCATCACTCACATGCCTGTTTTTGGGGCTGTTTTCAGGCTGTTTTTCAGGCTGTTTTTGGCCTGGAAAACGGCCCAGAAACAGCCTGTTTTTGGGGCCATTTTCAGGCCGTTTTATGGTGCCTGCAAAGACCAGCTGGCCAGTGCACATGTGCGTGCCGGAAACCAGAAGAGCAGCTGGCAATGGTGTGTGTGCCCACAGAGAGGAATACCATTTCAGATAGGTGGCTGTCCAGTCTTTTCTTAAAAAAAACCCGGTAATGAAGCCCCTACAATTCTTTTAAAAATAATAGTATAAAGAATGACACAATTCACTATTTTTTCTCCCATCGCAATTATATGACTTTATTTAAATTTAAGTAAAGTGCCATTAATGCTGAGCATTCTATTCCTGATTCTTCAGGAACGGGCTGGATGTTCAGCTCTTCCTCCATTGCAGCAAGTTTAGACAAAAGCTAACAATATCCCCTGCGTTTTCCCACCTACCACACTCATTTCACTTGCTATAATAGAATATTAGTGCTGATACAATATCTCACTAATTTTGCAACATACCTGCCCAGTGGAAAGGATAATAGTCAAAGCCCATCTTCCTAAAAGTTAATTGCATTGCACCTCCCACTATACCATGTTTGGAAGCACCTGTGGTAAAATGGAATTAAAATGAGACAAATCCTGGTTGCTGTATACCTAGTTTAGACAAACAGAATATGAATTGGTACTCTAAATAAAATACATTGTTTTAATCATAAATAAATTAGGTCTCACCTCTTGGAATATTTTTTTTAAATGTCAATAATCCCTCACCATCTATTTTTATTGAGATTTTTGTTTTAAAAATATTTTCATTAGATTCTTCAAAATATTGTCATATAGCATGATTCTAATTAGTTATCTAATTAAATAACTAAGCTGAATGATACCCATAAGCATAAAGATACTTATAGCACCCTCCCTTGATGCTTGCAGGTCTCTCTACCTAGATTAGTCTTCTTTTAACATTCTTTTAACAAACAAACGAATATGAACCTACTGTGTTAAAAAGCATTTTATTTCCAATGTAGGCCAAAGCTACAGTATTTAGGCTCCATTAGAAAAATGGGGAATGTGTCTGCAGCCTAATATTGTTCGGGAGAAACATCTGTACCCCAAAAATAAAAAGGAACAACACATGGCATTGGGGGAGGGGCAAGAAGAGATGGTGGGGAGCTATTTCACTAGTTAACAATTTCATTTGTGAATACAGAATTCCCCACAGCATCCTTATTGTAACTGTACCTAACATTCCATATGTGCTCATGAGCTCAAAACAGAGTTCTTGCTACTGAAATGATTTTATAAAAAAGCTGGAATGGGGAAGAAAGAGGAAACAGAGGAACCAAGCAGAAACATCTGCTTAAAATTTCTGCACATGTCACTAGGAAAAAACAACAACACCCGTCACGCTAGTCTCCCAATTTCAGCCCAGGGAAAGCTACCTGTTTCTCGAGTGTGGCTATCATCACAGATGTGAAGGTCCAGACGGGAAATAAGAAGGTGATAGGAAGACTCTTTCATATCATACATCTCAAAATACTGGCTGATAGCTTTATGGGTGCTGCCAAATGACTGTGGCCAAGACTGTTGGGTACTGGGAATAGGAGGTGTGATCTGTAATACAGAAAAATTAAGTACTAATTTACACCGATGCAGAACCCAAGAGGAACAATGGAGATGGCATCGTATCAAAAGACCTCAAATCATCCTATGGAAACAGAAAAATAGGTTTTGAAATACATTAATTTAAGGCAGAATTTCAAATTCAAATCTCTGAATGAATATTAATAAACAGAAAGCCAAACCAGAAAACAGAAAGCCAAACTGGATCTGGGATAATTGTTAAAGACCAATGTTGTGGTTATTGTTGTTGTTTTTGCAGGAGCAATGTGGGATGAAGGGAGGGATGTCATTATGCCTCTTTCCTAAATTAAAATCTAGAAAATATAGCAAACACAGTCTGGAAAAATGAGTGTTTATTTATTTGTTTATAAAATTTATTGTCTGCTCATCTTACCATAGAGTAACAATTATTGAGAATATGATTGAAGCGAAGGAAATATGAAAGATTAGCTGTCCCTCACCTCTAGTCAACCACCCAGCCTCAAAGGCTCAGACTTCAGAATCTGTAGCCTTCCAGATGCAGCTTGATTTTTAATTATCTACTTACTATTCATCTCCACTTCCTCTTTTTAGTCATTAATAAAAATGTTGAGGAACACAGTATGCAGGAATTATTCTTGCATCTCATTTGACCTTGCCCTGGATGAGGAACCATTGATGAATATTCTATTATTGAGTATGGTTTGCCAATCAGGTGTGAAACTAACACCTAATGCTGTTCACTCACATTTAAGCAGCTTACTAGTGAGACAATAAAAACAACTATTTCCAGGGCTCTACACTTTCCTGGTAACTGGTACACTGACACTGTGGCTCCCAGCTTCTGCCAACCTAGCAGTTCAAAAGCATGTAAAAATGCAAGTAGAAAAATAGAAAACACCTTTGGTGGGAAGATATCAACATTCCATGCGCCTTTGGCGTTTGGTCATGCTGGCCACATGACCACAGAGACGTCTTCGGACAATGCTGGCTCTTCGGCTTTGAAATGGAGATGAGCACTGCCCCCTAGAGTCAGGAACGACTAGCACATATGTCCAAGGGGAACCTTTACCTTTACTTTTACACTTGCCTGATAATTTGTCTTTATGTGTTCCACAAAAGTATTTTTCATTTTAAGGTAATTGCTGGGTTCTTTATTTATCTAATATTGAAGAGCCACAAAGTAATGGTTGTGTAACTATGCTTGGTGCTTGGTTTTATGGTACTCCTGATACAATCTTATATGTATATGTTTTTATATCATTGTATTACTCTTTTCTTTTTTTAAAAAAATACTGCCTTTAGTAATTGGGCAGCTATCTTGATTAAATAACTAACTAAATAAAGCAATATACTGTGCCACATCCTGAGTCAACATTCATTGTCTTTAGGGGGAAAAGTAAAGCAAACTCTCTCTGCCAGCTTACCATTGTCTTTGCTTGTAGATAGCTAGCAGGGAAGATAACAAATGACAATCACCTAATCATGAGTGGCTGCAGCTGCCACAAATGGGAACCAGTTGCCAAGTGTCTGAATCTTAATCATGTCACCATGGAGCACTACAGTAGCAGGAACTGCAAGGACCTTGTAAGTACCACTCATTCACTGCCATTGAAACTGGTGACTAAACAAGTGGTCTTTAACCAAGAACTACCTGTACAGTTTACTATGTAATCTTATGAGAAGCAACATAGTAACTATTGGAAGAAGAAAAAACAATATTACTGTTTGTTCTTCTCTTGCTAATAGTTTTTTTTTAAATCCCAGTATGTGACTCATATTCACATAATGTCCAATTTGGATCCATTCCTACATATCTATGGAACAACATATGCTTCTGCTATTTTGGCAACTTAAAGCTTTGTGAGCTATTATGCCCTTTGTGGTTTGACACCTGCAAATCTGATGGACTCCTTACTCCAATCAAAATTGGTCCTACCTACTGAGTCGAGGTGGCGCAGTGGTTAAATGCAGCACTGCAGGCTACTTCAGCTGACTGCAGTTCTGCAGTTCAGCTGTTCAAATCTCACCGGCTCAGGGTTGACTCAGCCTTCCATCCTTCCGAGGTGGGTAAAATGAGGACCCGGATTGTTGTTGGGGGCGATATGCTGACTCTGTAAACCGCTTAGAGAGGGCTGAAAGCCCTATGAAGCGGTATATAAGTCTAACTGCTATTGCTATTGCTAAATCATCTCAGGAGAAAGTATTTTTAACTTCCCACTTTTGGGGAAGCCAAAGGAGCCAAGGTCAAGTCTTAGCTGCCTTTTAGCAGCAGCAGCAGCTCTCTGGAATGACCTTCTGTTAGAGCGCAGTCTGATCTGTTCATGACACATTCAAGGAAGATGCTGAAGACCAAGCTGTTCTGAAAAGCATTCTAGTACAGACTCAGTCATCTTTACATTTCTTACTGACTGACTGGACAGGAGTAGTAGTTGTTTGTTTTAAACATTTGTTTAAAATGTTTATTTTAACTTTTAAAATATAACTTTAATTCTGCCTATATTGTGTAAAACTATCAGGAATTCTTATATTAAAGGTAAATGTAAAGGTTCCCCTCGCACATATATGCTAATTGTTTCCAACTCCAGGGGGTGGTGCTTATCTCCATTTCAAAGCCAAAGAGCCAGCGCTGTCCAAAGTCTCCGTGGTCATGTGGTCGGCATGACCAAACGCCGAAGGCGCATGGAACGTTGATATCTTCCCACCAAAGATGGTTCCTATTTTTCTACTTGCATTTTTACATGCCTTTGAACTGCTAGGTTGGCAGAAGCTGCGACAAGTAATGGGAGCTCACTCCTTTATGTGACAATAGGGATTCGAACCACCAAACTGTCAACAAGCTCAGTGCTTTAGTCACTGAGTCATCGCGCCCCTTTTCTTAGTATAGTGAGACATAAATGCAATCAATAATATCACATGAAAGAGAGAGGGAGAGAGAGAATAAGTGTATCTTAAAACCTGCAAATATTAAAGGTATTTACTTGGATAGGTTCAGGAGCCAAACTTTTCCTCTGCTGAGCTGATTTCTCCATGGCTTCGCTCAAGGATTCTGCATACTTCATCATTGCCTTCAGCTGGGAGTCAGTTAGCACCCACAACAAGTCATCAAGAAGGAACATGAGCTTAGATGCCAGCACATTGCAATCCTTTGTCTGGCTCATAAAGAGAAAAAGATCAGCACACTGTCTGAAAAGATTTTTATTTATTCCTAAGAATAAGCAGCTTCATTGGTAGCAGCTTTTCATTATTTTTCCCATAAATTAGCAAATGGGCTAATTCCTAGATAATCTCTGAGCACAATAAAAGATATCACTTTTATCTGAAAAAGAAAGGAGCAATCAATATTTCACAGTACTTTAAATGAAATGCATTGTATGATTTTTCAACATGTATTTATATAATTAACTGGCTTCCTTAATAATGTGAGTTAAGAATACAAAATTTTTTAAAAGATGCATGGTTTAAACTGCTGTTCAAAAAAAGTCTGGGAAATACAAGAAAAATTGATCAGAGTGGCTGTAAATATGAACTGAGCTCAGGTAAGAAGTTACACTTCATAATACTTGGAAGACTACAACTATATCCTGAGCATTTAATGGAGACATTCCTCTCAACCGTTTAACAACTTTTAAAAACCTATTAAAACCTACCGTGTTTCCCCGAAAATAAGACAGAATCTTATTTTCTTTTGACCCCCGAAATAAACACTTGCCTTATTTTCGGGGAGGTCTTATTATTTTTGAGGTGCAGGAGGCAGCGAGCATGGTCATCTCATGGCTGCTGCTGTGTTGCAATATTTTCAGGAAGAGCTTATTTTCAGGGAAGGACTTATTTTAACGCATGCGCTCAAAAGCCCAATTGGGATTATTATCTGGGGAGGTCTTATTTTCAGGGAAACAGGGTAGTTTGTCAAGTTTCTGTTCAGACCCTTTTTTAAACAACATATAGTTATTCACTTATGACTGGTTACTTAGTGACAGTTCAAAGTTATGACAGACCCTGAAAATTACAATCCAGGTTATAAGTTTCAATGTCTGCCCTCCTCTTGCAGTCACATGACCATAATTTTGGTGCTCAACAATCAGCCTGCATTTAAAGCTGTTTGCACTGCACAGTGATCACGTGACCATGATTTTCAACTTTTTGCCTAAAACTGGTATTTACTTTTGATCCCCAGCAAAAAAAAATGTCCATAGTGAATAATGGTTTCACTTAATGCAGCATTCACTTTATGACCATCATGTGCCTAATGACCACCAAAAAAGTCATAAAATTGGCCACAATCACATGATCCCCTGTTTAATGATCATTATAACTTATGACCATAATTGCGGGCTGAATTATGGTTCTATATCAAAAACTACCTGTGTAACATATATAAAATCTATTTCTTTTAACTAAAAATCAAGGATTTGAAATTCTTCATTAATAAAAAGATTCTAACTTGTTCAATTGGGAGCGCCACATTTTTCAGCTGGAATATATAATTCAAATGTGTATGTTTTTTTTTTAATCCATTGGTTTTTCTGTTTTCCAAATTCCAGAGCAGTTGGGGGAAGATATATTCCACTGTTTTATTTCATTATGGGTGAGCTGGGAATTCTTAATGTTTATATCATTAATATATCTAATTATATTAATAATTCTACCCAATAATACTTTTCAGCAAAATATATACCCACCTTTCTCTTAAGTGATATTTGGATTTTGCCCTGGTTGGTAATAAGTCTTAGAGGGGTAGTGAGGGGATCTTGTTCTCCATTTTCTGTAGCATCAGCTTCTATTCGAAGAGTCTGCCAGGTGAGTTCTTTAAATGTTAATACCTTCCAAAGGGAAGCAAGGGGTACAAAATTTTAAAAAAAATTCCTAAAATTGTCTAAAGTACTTTAAATGATAGGTTAGGAAACAGGCAATTTAAGAAAGAACAAAAAATTACAAATAACTTAGTTTATTTTGAAATGGTTGAAAATCAAAAAGGCGTGCAGAGCAACGAAAAAGGTAACCAAATGTTAAAATCTTTGCAAGTCTACAGAAAGCATTCCAAATATGAGGACACCTATTTTATGGGCCTACCTCTCCCTTATGTGAATCAGTGATTCGGGTAAAGCGAAGATCACTTTGCTGCCAGGTGGGGTTAACACTATATCCTTGAAGCTGCCATAATTCAAACGATGCATGGAAGGCCTTGGAGTGTATCTTGATGGTAATTGAATTGACAATAATGTACATACCTTCCACAACCTTCTCTGCAAATCCATATTCACTGTAGAGGAGGGAATACATTTTTAATTGAGTATAATGCTTTAGCTCATCTTAAACATTAAAGCATGTAATAACTCGGAAATGTGTTAGGCTTATGCAAAGCTATGTTATTTCTAGGTCAGGGCAGGTAGCTAGATTGTTTTCTTTCAATTTTATTATTTACAATTTTTTAAAAAAATCATTAAAATATCTTCTTTGCTGTAATTAATGCATCAAGCAAACACAAAGCACATTATATATTGCATGGCTTTTGTTAAATATTAGTCCTAAAATGACAATGTGCTATAGTCCCAGCTTTGGTACAGTTGTGACACGTCTCATGTATGTAAATTTTATTCTTCTTTTCAAAAAGAAAATTGCAGAGCCATAAAATAGATGCTTTCTTTTACATCGTTCTTTCTTCTTCAGCAGCTCAAAAAACAAAACAAAACAAAAGCCAACAAGATTTTTTTTTTACTGCCCAACCAACATCTGGGAAAATTAACTGTAATCTGGGTTCCATACATATAATAGATGCTGCTCTTAGTTGTACTTTATTAGGAAAATATGAGAGTAGCTACAAGAGGAAGATATCAAGAAAAAAAACTTGAGGGGGAATCTGCTCGATACTTATAGGCTTCAAATTAACATGCATAACAAGGCAATTGAAGTCCATCTTATTTTAAGTGTGAATCGTGTTTAAAAAAGATGAGCCTTTGACTGCCTACACTGTTAAAAACCCGCATCAGACACCATTGCATCACAGTACCATTTGAACTAGAAAAGCAAAGATTGCACCCAAAAGCACACTAAGAAAAAATTAGAAGGAGAATTTACCTCTGTCCTGAAGCAACAGCAATGGGAGACTGTCCATTGGGTGGCCTGGGCTCTTCACATGTTCGCATCTCCACTTCAACTTTATCCAAATACTGTGAAACAACAAAGAGAAGTAGAAAGTACATGGAAGGAACTAGGAGAAAACAAGGTGAAATTTAAAAATACAAGAGCGTTAAACAATAAGAATTCTTTCCTAATCTAGTTACTGGGTTACACTTCATACTAATAGTGATGAACGTTGTTTTTCTTAGCCAAGCCTATAAATAGAGTAAATATTTTGGGATTAGCTACTGACTAGACTGTGGTTTAGCTTGGCATGATGTGTGAACAGAACTAATTGTAAGCTCCTGGTCCATTTCTGGTTTGCTTTTCTGCCTTAATGTAGCCTCAAATGAATCCACAAAGGTGCAAAGCACAGTTGTAAAGAAAACCATAGAACAAACCAATTGGAAATTTGTCAAAATAATTAAGTTCACTTGTGTGCATAACCTTTAGCCGTTCAACAAACCAGTTTGCCAACCCTAACCCAGAATAAGATTTATATTTTTGACTGATTTTGATGTGCAAAACTATCAATTTATAATTTGTTAGCAGTAAACAATGTTTACCCGGCTTAGCAGGGGTAAAAGTAATATAGTGTACAGTAAAATCTCGCCTTTTTGTCACTAGTTTCAAGCTATTTGCGATTGTTTTATATGCTGAAGTTTTCAACATGCTATTTCTATTTAGAAATGCACATACTATCCCCCACACTAATAAACATCACTACTGTTACTATCCAAAAAATCTAGCAAAAATTAAAAGCCAACTAAGTTTCACATCCCCAAAAATCACCCACCACTAAAGCAATGATGAAGACTGTCATATGGGACCTGAAAAAAGAAGGGCCTTTATATTAGGTCATTAATAATATAAAAATAGCTTTGCTGAATCAGGCCAAAGCCCATCTTAGTTCAGCATTTTGTTTCTCATAGCAGCCAAACTGGTTTATCTGGCTTGCTCACAATCAGGAGACTAAGACATATGTCTTTTCCCACTGTTCCCTTGCAACCTGTATTTGGAGACATACTGTCTCCAATATGAATAGCTCTCATTAGACTTCTTCTCTATTAATTTATCTTATCTTCTTTTGAAGTCATCTAATTTAGCAATCATTACCATCTCGGTGGTAAGGAATTGCAGATTAATTATGAAGATATATAAAGAACTTTGTTCTAAATCTGAACATTTTAATTAACCCAAACAATGCCATTGGCCTAATTTTCTTTCAAATGTTTTTCCAATTCATTCCCACAATAAACGTATAGTGAGTCTACATGTATGTATGTATGTATGTATGTATGTATGTATGTATGTATGTATGTATGTATTTTGTGTCACAACCCCTGGTATGCCCAAATATGGGAGGAAGCATACTGCTTCCTTTCTCTCTCTATCGGCTCATCACAAGAGACCATCCAGACAGAAAACCATTATTTTTACTGTTGCCTTTTTATTACATTTGTGTTGCATTTGTGCTGATAAATAAATAAAGGGAGACTAGTATAGATCTATTTCAAGCTATTTAGCTCTCATCAGCTAGCTATACCCTTACTGGGATTTGAACCTGTGCTGTATTACATATTAGGCAGTTGTGTTAGCCACTAAGCTAAATAGTTTGAAATAGATCTATACTAGTCTCCCTTTATTTATTTATCAGCATAAATGCAACATACACACACACACACACACAAACACACAAATATCAGATGTAGCTTAGGACAGCAGAATACATGGTTTCAACCCAAAACTGGATTCTTATGATTGCAAAAAGGGCTTACAAAAAAAACAATGCTGAAAACCTAAGAGAAAGATCAATGTATTTTACAACTAGCTTAATTACGTCCAACATTTATATGTTCATCACAGAAATTACACAGAATTATGCTTACAATATAATGGATCTATACGAAGACCAATGACAGTATTATCTATACTTATTTTTAGGTTTAAAAATAAATGCTTTTTAAATACACAAACTAGATTACAAATTGTTACTAACAGATAAACAGGAGATAAACAAGGCCATTACCAGACAGATTGGGTGAGTCTTCAGCTTAGTCCACTGAATCTGAAACAACATAACTAATGTTAAATAAATAGGAAATGCTGCAAGAATTAATTAGGTTTAGGGTGATACTAACAAGATCAGTTCTAGCAAATATTTGCTCTGAAAAATGCCATGACAAAATTTTCTGCATGGAAATACACAGCCATTAAATACAAAACCATTCCTTATTAAATGCTCTTCATACAAATACAGGTCAGCTGAAGGAAATAAAGCAATATTTTGTGCTGTGAACTTTTATGCTTACTAGTACTTTGTCAAACATACATTTAAGACAAAAATAGCATTATTTATAGATTATGTTAATTAAAACATTTCTGACATATCAGCAATGTCAGCCCCTTCTATCAGGGGAAATGATGCAGCCACTTCAGACAATAGATGGAGTTAGGTGAATTTGATGGCTATGCCTCAAGGCGCTACCCTACAAATTCACAATCTAGAACACCTAATTAGTTATGTCCAAATCATAAGGATTTTGGAGTGCACTGCTCTAAGGAGATATTCAAAGCAATATATTATATAAAACATCTGTGGCCCCATCAACACAACCATACACATACAGGTAGTTTTATTATGGTTGCTCAATCAGCAAATTGCTTACGGGATACTATTCCCACCAGAGAAAAGTAAGCAGGTGTGAAAAATCTTTCTCCTTCCTCAAGCAATCTTTCTTCCTAGCTTGCCTCTAAAGATCACAAATAATCCTATCCGAATTCTCCTACGTGTGAATTATTACAAATTTCACATAGCATTGGACATGTAATGAAGTTCACAAAACATTATCCTTTACAACAGGAATCTGCAACCCCCGGGCCATGGACCAGTACCAGTCCATGGTCTGTTACAGAGGTGCGTTGCTAATTTTTTAACTACCGGTTTGGGTGTGCTCCCACACGCACTCGTGCATGAGGTCTGGGAGTGTGGGTGGAGCCTCTCACTGCTGCTACCGGTTCACCTGATCCAGGCTGAACCAGCAGCAGCCCACCTCTGGTCTATTAGGAGGTGAGCAGGTCACAGTACACAAGTAAGCAACCCACCCTCCAAGGAAGGTCTGTGGAAAAATTGTCTTCCACAAAACTGGTCCGTGGTGCCCAAAAGATTAGGGACCACTGCTTTAAAAGTTTGCTAAGCACTAAAACTCCAATTAGAGAATAACATTTTAAAACCAGCGAAAGCTCCTTTTTATCCTGTTCTTCCCTTTCTTTTCCAGTACATATGGTATATTTATAGTATATTTACTAGTTACTAATCTTCTTCCAAACAAAGGAAAAGATAATTTTGGCAGAAAACATTAGTAAATAAATGCAATTAATTTCCAGGTAAATAAGATATGGTCATATAAGCCAAACTGATAACTTATTGCAATATTATTTTTATTGTTTGCCACTGGTTTATGTAACAGCAGTGAAAATGAAGATAGCAGAGAATCTAAAATATATTCTGTTGCAATCATAATTTTGTTTTGTCATGTACGTCTTCCCTACATTTACTAAAAGTTGGGTCCTGAGCCCATTGCATAAGAAATTCGTATGTGCCCTTAAATATGGAGCAATCATTTATTACTGTAACTTGTTTGAACATAGCTCTGTGAACAAATGAACTATATTAATTTATCAGCAAGTGTATTGACCTTGTGTCAGGAAAGAGTGCATATGAGAAACATACAGTTACAGAAGATAAACAAACAAAAATATACACACAAAAACAGTTTTCTTCATTACCCAAATAGTTTATCTGTACATGTAACTGAACTGAGTAGATAATTCTGAAGTTACAAATTAATTTTTTCCCCTAAAATGTTTCAATTATTAATCCTCATCTGAAGAAAACACAGCAGGTAGACTTGATTTTGCTACTCCAGCAGAAAAAGATCAGAGCTATTCTTTTTTTAAAATTAATAAATCTTTCAATTCATTTTTCATGAAGCTTCTAGCCCTAACACCAATCCTAATGGTGCTTAAATGATTACTTGCTCACATCAAGTGAAAAATTAATTTTATTCCAGAGGAAGCTTACAGTATTTTTTCAAGAAGAGAACACAGTGTTCTTTATATCAATGCACAAGTATGACCACAAAATATAATCTCTCTAATTATGCATGAAACTAAGTGTCAGATATGAAGAACGATTGCAGGATTTGCGTTTGGCTAGTCTAGAGAAAAGAAGGACTAGGGAGAACATGATACTAGTATTTGAGAGGCTGCCACAAAGATGATAGGGTCAAATTATTTTCCAAACACCAGAGGGCAGGACAAGAAACAATGAATGGAAACTGATCAAGGAGAGAAACAAACTGGAATGAAGGAGAAACTTCCTAACAGTGAAGACAATTAACCAATGGAACAGCTTGTCTTCAGACCTTGTGGATGCTTCATCACTGGGGTTTTTTAAGAAGAGCCTGGATAATCACTTGTCTGAAATGGTAAAGGATCTCCTGCTTGAGCAGGGGGATGGACTAGAAAACCTCCAAGGTCCCTTCCAGCTCTTTTCTGATTGATACTAAGATGTGGAGCCTAACAGGAAACTGGCAATCAATTTAAAACTGAATGTAATCAGAGCGCTTATGCTATTATTTCTGAAGCATCTGGGATTCAAAACTTGATTCTGTTTTGGCCAATTATTATTATATTAGTAGAAAAAGTCAGAGGAACTTTTACATCCAAATTAAAAAAAATCCGAAAAATGATTAAGATAGGAAAATACTAAATATATTAATAGTTATGGAAATTTTGGCTTACCCTGATGGAGGCCTTGTTGCAAAAAACTCGAGTGATGGCTAGCCAGGTGGGCAGATCCAGCAAATTCTGCAGAACTTCTTCATCCAGTTCTAGGTTCGTCAACTGCCCCTGCCCTTTGAGAGTGCTCAAGTTGATTTTATCAGGGGAGAGATTCTTTGTAAACCTGTAGTTGATAAAATTGGAGATAAAATTGAAAACTTCCATTGATCAGCGCACTGAATAAAAATGTACATGATATAGCTTTAAATTGTATCCAAGAAACTGGTGGGAAGCCATTATCTTAGTTGCAGCCACAGTTTCATCTCATGAATATTTGTAGCAGCAAAATAATAAGAATGAAAATCTATCATTGTTTTAATATACAAACAATCTGATTGCTTAAGTTTACTCTACCAAGAGAATTAAAATATGACATTTCTCTCAATGCTAAAAAAATATTTTTGTTTTTTTACAAGTATAACTATATTGGAGTTCAATGTTTGGTAGCTAGTTCTTAAAATTAGGGACCGTGATTCATAGTTTTAATTTGGGGAAAAATATTGTACAGAGATTTGGAAGATAAATTACTGTGTACTACCGTGAAATGGAATGAGAAATGATATCAAATAGCTAGCAATAATAATTAAAATATTCAGGGTAACTCGGGACTTGGGTTTCTTGACTCTCCTCTTTAACATCTACAAGAAATCACTGGACAAGGTCATTTGACAGCATGGGATGGGGTACAGTGCAATACAATACAATACAATACAATAGTAGAGTTGGAAGGGACCTTGGAGGTCTTCTAGTCCAACCCACTGCCTAAGCAAGAAACCCTATACTGTTTCAGATAGATGGCTATCCAACATCTTCTTAAAGACTTGCAGCGTTGGGGCATTCACAACTTCTGGAGGCAAACTTTCCACTGATTAATTGTTCTAACTGTCAGGAAATTTCTCCTCAGTTCTAAGTTGCTTCTCTCCTTGATTAGTTTCCACCCATTGCTTCTCAGGTACCTTGGAGAATAGTTTGACTCCCTCTTCTTTGTGGCAACCCCTGAGATATTGGAACACTGCTCCCATGTCTCCCCTAGTCCTTCTTTCTCTTAAACTAGACATACCCAGTTCCTGCAACCGTTCTTCATATGTTATCAGTATCAGAGGACTAACAGATTAACCGAGTTGGAAGGAACTTTGTAGGTCTTCTAGTCCAACCCCACCCCCAAGCAGGAAACCCTACACCATTTCTGACAAATGGCAGTCCAGTCTCTTCTTGAAAGCTTCCAGTGATGAAGCTCCCACAACTTCTGAAGGAAAGCTGCTCCATTGGTTCACATCATCAGTACACTAATTATATGCATTTATAGTTTCAGATAGACAGCTTTTCCTATATGTACAACAAACCTGGTATATTTTGCTCTACCCCTGAGGCACATATAGACAGAAATTCTTGTATGCATGGAAGATGAAATTACCGCTTTTAATGTATTGCATCTACCATCTACCATTTTCTTCTAAAATTGGAAATTCATGGAAAGAGATAAGAGATAAACATGCCACTCATCTCAAAAAGTGACTCTGGGTGGTGAACAACTTTAAACTAAAAGGCAAAATGATTAAAATTCCAAATGCAAAAAATTAAAGTACACAGCAACTGAATAAATATCAAAATCAATAGCCACTAATACAGCTGGAAAATAGGCCCCTTCACCAGTCAGGGTGCCAGGCCTTTAGTGCCTTCCCAAAGATTAGCAGGGTCAAGCCCATCCTAATCTCTGAAAGGAGAATGTTCCACAGGGCAGGTGCCTACACAGAAAAGGTGCACCTCCTAGACACCACCAACCCACATTCTTTAGTCAATGGGACCTGAAGCATACCCATCCTATTGGATCAGACAGAAAAAACTGGAGAGAGTCCCTCAGGTAACCCAGTGTCAAGCCACGAAGGCTTTAAAAGTGCAACCACTACCTGGCAACCAATGCAACTCATAAAATACTGTTTTACATGCACCAAATAACTGGCACCACTAACTTCCATTGGCTCATTGACGCCATGCTGCAACTCCCTGCACCAGCTGAAGCTTCTGAAAGCCCTTCAAGGGCAATCCCATGTAGAGCACGTTACAGTAATCCAGTCTTGAGATCACAAGGGCATGAGTGACAGCGAGGAAGGCCTCCAGGTCCAGAAAGGGAAAAACTGGTGTGCAACCCCAAAGTGTGCAAAGGGCCTCTTAGCAATGGTTGTCCTTTGCTTTATCGACAGGAGCAATGGATTTAGGAAGAACCCCAGATTGCATATTAGTTCTGCCTGAGGCAGTGCCATCCCATCTAAAGCCAAAGGCACTGGGATAGGACATCTACAGCATAATTCAGGTGGCCTGGAGGCTGGCGCAGAGAAGTAAATTTGGGTATCATCAGCATCAGAGGTGATATTCAGCAGGTTCTCTCTGGTTTGGGCGAACTGGTAGTGGCAGCTGCGGGAGGCTCTGCCTACCCACCCCAACATACTGCGCAAGTACTGCGCATGTGCAGAAGGTGGTACACATGTACAGATGAGGGCTCACATTTGCGAACTGATAAGGAAGGTAAGTGAATCCTTAGATCTGGCCTGCGAGGCCACCCTGGCAGAGCACTCAGGCTACCACAGGTGCCCCGAAACAAGTGAGCAACCCCCGACACTCTGGTCATACACCCCTCCCCCAAGTTCAAACACAACCCTGATGCGTCCCTCAATGAAATCAAGTTTGACACTCCTGTTATAAGTAATGCAAGTCATACATAATATTCCTTCCTTCTTCTATTTCCTTCATAACAACAACCTGTGAGGTGGGTTGGACTAAGAGACAGTGACTGGCCCAAAGTCACTTGCTAGTTTTCATGCCTAACACAAGAATAGAACTCACAATCTCCTGGTATCTAGACCAGCAGCTGAACCACTGCACCAAATTGGATGTTAAGAAACAACATCAAAGTAAATTAATACTTATTGTTTTAGTCTAATTTTATTTATGTATTACATTCCTAATTATAGGACAGGAGGGCCTGGAGTAATGTTGTCCATGGGGTCATGATGGGCCGGACATGACTTTGCAACTAACAACAACAACAAAATTCCTGATTACATTCCTGCATTTATTATGAACTTTCATGCATACAACCAAATCATCCCTCACGTAACCACAAGCTTTCCTTAATCATATATGTACAAACCAGAGCTAGGTTCCTACCGATTCGGACCAGTTTAGCCTGCCATGCCTCTGAAACATTTCTCTCAGTGGCGCATGCACAGAAGCACTTTTTTAGTACTTCGCATCAAGCACCTGTGCATGTCCCTGAGCGAACCGACAGTAGCAGTAGCCGGAACCCACCTCTGGTACAAACATATTAAACAACCTAGGGGAACATACAGAATTTTATTTCATTGCTCAAATATTAATTATTCCTTACACATGCTTTATTTTCATTGTATTATCACATTCAGCAGCCAACCTTAAATTCCATATTCATGCAAAACACTGTATAATTCAAGTCTATTTGCCTTATCATATGCCTTCTTTAAATATGCAATAATTTTCACATTCATACATCCCAACAATTTGCCATGCATACTTAACAAATTATCTCATGTCACCAGGGTAATAGAATAGAAAAAATTGACATACTTCTTCTAGATCTGCCACTGCTTTTTGCAGACATTCATGACAAAATGGCAGTTGGTCTTACCTGAACTGCTATTTTTGGGGCTGGAACAGGAGGCTCCAGTGGATGGTATTGACATGCCCATTTGGCCACGAGACAGGGATGAAGCTGAAGACGTGCCTCTGTGCTTCACCCTTCCTTCTCCACATCATCGAAGTGAGCTCCCCTCAGACCTGAAAACAAGGCACAAAGGAGAACTCCTACCACCCCAGCTATCATACTACCTAGGGCGGGAACTGGAGTCTCCTGTCCCAGCTCCGAAAATAGCAGTTCAGGTAAGACCAACTGCCATTTTCCGGAGCGAGGGACAGGAGGCTCCAATTCCCGCCCTAGGTAGTATGATAGCTGGGGTGGTAGGAGTTCTCCTTTGTGCCTTGTTTTCAGGTCTGAGGGGAGCTCACTTCGATGAAG